ACGGAACTTTATAATTCAAGTGTAAGTGCAAAAATACGTGTAGCAAATAAATAAAAGTACTTGTTGCACGTTTCAGCATATAACTGTAAAGATAATTCAGTAGTGGTAATATCTACCGGGCTTCTATCTGAACTGTTGAGAAATAACAAAATTGAGTTGATCAATTCGAAATAGGTACAAAGTCCAATACAAGACACAAATCTAATAGTACAAACAAAAAGATTTGTTACATAATTCGCCGAATATCCATTATGTAGGCAGAGTTGGCAACGGCCGATTAAACTGTGATTTAACTTCGGCAGTTAAACTTATTGATAAATTGAAGGGTCAGTTGTTTTACTCCCATGAGCACAATGTTTCGGACTCGTATGCTTAAAACTTTTATGTTTCCCGTGAGACGCTGATTGGATTTTGGTTACTGTCTGAATATTATTTTTAATAGGTATTGTTATTGTCTACTCTAGTTTATTGATTCAGGATGTACCTTCTTAAATTATTAGATTGACGAGCTACACAGAAGCAATTCAGAATGCAAAAGAGTTTATTAACAGTCTATGGACTTTTTGATTAAGTACTGTTACTCGGACATTGCGTTTACTTCCGTAAGATTACGTCCATTAATATTTCCAATGTTATCATTGTCATAGAGATCCTTGTAGCCTAAAATATTTTCGATTTTAAATCAGTTTCTATTAGCCACCACCTTATCGTGGTAACTTTTGAAAAAGGTAATTCGCTACAGGTTAAAGATAATAAATCTTCATTGCTTTCGAGAAAATGTCTTCATTGAAAACTTTTCGACTTCAGACCAATATTCAGCTAACAAACTTGACCTTTATTATGTATATTGTCAAAGTTTTTGGGAATGATAGACATCTGATATTTATGAAGGTTCCCAAACTTGGAGATCTTTGCACAAGATTGATCCTGCGGCCCTCTCCCATAACTCGGTCACGTCCGTGGCTGGTCTCCTCCAGGGATCCTCCCAAAAACAGAAGAATGTACAGCAGGCCTAATGTATAAGCAGCGCTTCTTATACATTAGACTATACAATTTGTTGCCAAATTGTGCTTGTTATAGCTTTAGATGCCACATGGCACAGCTTGATGGGCCATTACTTACTACATTATTTCGTACTATCAAAAGACAATACATATGGCATCGTCATTCTGCAATGGATTTCAGTTACCTCTGTGGTAAGTATAAAGATTCAAGTTCGTCATGATGGAAAACTCATTAGCATATCGAAAGAAAATAGATCCATGTTTAGGTTCTACTGTTTTAATTTCTATTGTTCTCAAACTGCGCCCAGGAAGTCGGCCTGCAAAAAATATTGCTTTTTCGCCCACGAGATATTACTTGTTCTATGTACTTAGGCCAGAGAGATAAACCAGTTACATAGTTTTCTCTCGAGTCCTTTCCATCGATATTCTAGTCTATGCTTTGGATTAAATAATGTCTAGATTCTAGGTACAAATTAATACGAACAAAAATTAAGTTATTCTTTGTGGTATGTACGAGTAAGTTACCCAGAGAAATAGTGAATTATTTACTTAATGGATGTTCAAGTAGTCTAATAATTAATCAGAAAGCCACTTGGTAGAGTCACTTGAGACCATTGCATTGTGCAATTTTATTTATTTATTTATTTTATTTATTTATTTTTGGGAAACATACAGTTACAATATAATTTAACTTAGGTGCAGTGAGAAAACACATAAACCAATTAAGTTTCCACAGTTAAATATACACATAAAGTTGGGCAAACCATTAAGACTAAATTTTTGTTGTGAAAAATATAAACTTATATAAAAAAAAGTAAACAAAGTGACAAAAGAAAAAGTATCAACTACCTAATTAATAAAGGAGCGAACTGCAAACATCACCCGACGCTCGCAATTTAGTTGCCACAAGACAAATCCCGGATTTGTTTTTTAAACTTACTTAAATTAGACCCAAGTATGTCTAATTCTTGGAATTGTTTGTTGTAGCAACGGCAAGCGCGAGGCAGAAAGGTGTTGAAAGCATAATTAGTCCTACAAAGGGGCACATCAAAATCAATAAGTGTAATATCTTACAATTTTAAAAATTAATCACAATACTTATTCATGCCATTTCTCACAGAAAGAAGCATAGCTATCGTGATGCAGAAATGAACCGAGTCTACATAATAGTAACGATAGGCCATAAATAAGTTCCGTTCGTTGGCTGCGTCACTTTTTCGGGCTTCAGCTTTGCATACGACGCAACCGTGACGTAATCATGCGCTCGATTTTCATTTGATATTAATCTTGTTATTGAATAATTATTTTTTACCCCTTGAGTAACAGTTTCTCGCTGTTGTTGTGTTGCGATGAGAGATAGTGAAATGAACTGACAATTTATTGTTGAGAATATGCAAAGCGATGTGAAGTAATTATTGCTTGTTCGTTTGATAGGATTGCTTCTGCTGTTTTCATTCGTGAAGCAATCATATTTCAGTTAGCTGACGTTCACAGAAATAAGATTAATTTACTTCTAAAGTTCTGCATATTTGGTATATGAATTCTTAAAATAGAGAATAGGATGCTTTTTTTTATTAGTAACTTAAAGACTGAAAAGTAGCTTTTCCTTTCATTAAAATTTTCCCGGAAGCTATTTTTAGTTTAATATGTTTTAGCACTGTCTAATTTCATGAGTACTTACTACGCTACATAATTTTTGAGTGATAGACTTTGTGACAGATCGAAATGCAGTCTAATTACGATCTACTAAAATATATAAAATTCCTAACAAACATAATGCCCTTATAAGCCGAATTTCGTTATCGTTAAACCTCCAAATGCGGTTGTTACCATGTTAACAAGGAAAGCGAATTAGGCATGTTATTGTTTCTATGCGCATCGGGCTTGGCATAATAACGACACTTGTGTGCGCCCGCGTCCGTTCCCAGCGCTGTTTGCCGGCGCTACTGTAAACATGCGCGCGAGTGCAAGCTGACCGGCTTACATGTCAACTATTACTTTTATCCAAAAATCGTCCCTTGCCTCTCTAACTGACGTAACTGACATTTAGCAAAATTTTCAGGCGATTAGACAGATCGATTCGTCTTGCGAAATTGATTATAATTAATTTAAAAAAATAAAACCGACTTCAAATGCGTGAACACAAAAAAAAAACTAAAAATTAAAAATATTGCGTATAAAAAAGTTCATCCCCAATTTTCCACCCTTGGGGGTGAAATATTTTCTTCAAATTCGCATGAAACCACCCTTTTGATAATACCTATTCAACAAAAAATAATCGTTCAAATTGATTTATAATCGGCGGAGATATTGCGTATAAAAAAAGTTCATCCCCAATTTTCCACCCTTAGGGGTTGTTTTTTCTATTATTAAATTTAAATGGGACCACCCTTGAGGTATTACCTATACGCCGAAAAAAGATTTGTTCAAATCGGTTCATAATTGATGGCCACCTTCCAGCTCCATCATCAGATCAGCTCCATGTCATCATAATATTGCATGGTCATCCAAATCACATGTGTTTGTGAAATTTCAGCTTAATCGGTTGCCTGGAAGTGGGTCTTAATTCAGTTTGCAAGATTCCACCCATACAAATATGAGCCAGTCGTTGTAATATGACGTCACGCGCATAAAATGGCGGGCCGGCCGCCGCCCGCACTTTTAAAATTCAATATCTTGGAAACTAATTGACGTATCGAAATAATTCTTTCACGTGTATTTTTTATTTTTAACAGAGAATACAGAAAGCTAAAAAACAAAATTAGTGAACATTCTTCATTGGCGGAGTTATCGCGTAACAAACATAGAAAAAAAACATACGGGTCGAATTGAGAACCTCCTCCTTTTTTGAAGTCGGTTGAAAATGGTGTGTGTAGAAAACTCAGTTTCGAAAAAACTGTCAGATACGTCAGTTAGAGAGGCAAGCGACGAAATGACAGTAGAACCAAATAATGTAATTGATAAAAAATAGTAATGTCACAATTATTTATTTCTTATTGAAATTGTTAAACGTTTAACACAAGAATTAAAATAAAGAGACAACTGAAAAGTGTTAAAAAGACTTGAAACAACCTAATTTAATTTCTTATTTTATTTTCGGATGATATTTTAGTTTAATAGGTTCGTAATTAAATTATGAATCAGTAATTTAAATAGTTTGTTAATTATAGGCTAGCGTAACCAGTAAAGTTTTTTTCAGGAATTGAAATTGAGTTAAATTCGCATCCCAACTAATATTATAAATGCGAAAGTAACTCTGTCTGTCTGTCTGTCTGTCTGTCTGTTACGCTTTCCCGCTTAAAACTCGCAACCGATTTTGATGAAATTTGGCATAGAGATAGTTTGAGTCCCGGGAAAGAACATAGGATAGTTTTTATCCCGGTTTTTGAAACAGGGACGCGCGCGATAAAGTTTTTCTGTGACAGACAAAATTCCACGCGGGCGAAGCCGCGGGCGGAAAGCTAGTTCTGATATAAACCGATTAATTGAAAATTACTTAGTAAATAAGTTGACTTCGTTATAATGTAGATACCCACTTAAAGATAAAACAAAGGACAAATATAAAAAGGGTTAAAACTGAAACAAAATATTTCAGTCTTATCTTACAGCAACAATGGGATGAGCCGCATAAGCTCATTAATTTTCTTAATTTATTAAGATTGATAAGCAAATAATTTTTTGTTCCTCTTGTTTTCCAAATAAACCAAACAAAATGAATATTCTTATAAATTCAGTAAATGTAAAAATACAATGTAATCAAATTAGGTTTTAGGTTTCATATAAATGATACCTTTTTACCAATTTGATAACAAGTCCTAGCAGCTTATCCAATTTATGTAGAAGCTTAGCTTATAAGATAAGAAAGCGAAAATTTTTAAAAGATTTTCTTTAAGAACATGTGTTTTTTTAATAAGAATTGAATGAACTTAATGTATTTTATTGGCACATTGAACTTAGCTTTAGAGTTAGTAGAATAAAATAAAAATTGTCACTTACCACGGACTTCACGTGAACCATATTGCCGAGTGCGGGCGGCTAGCTCTGTAAAACATAGCGGACATTCCATTACACTGTTTATATACGGATCCTAGAGGCCCGGACTGCACTCAGTAATCTTGCGGTTGAAATTCAGAAACTACCCAGACGCCGGGATTTCCTCGTAATTATATCACGACTCGAAATTGCGACTACATTATAATAACAACAATTATTGTGATGTTACACAGAAAAACTAAATTATTTCTTCATTATTTGTTATTAATCGGACTTATCTGTCATTTCACAGAGCACAGATCACACGCCACAGATAATGATACTCACCTAAGGCTAAGTTTAGGATCGTTTAGGGGTGAGTTCACGAGTTCGTAAGTTCGAGGAGTCGGAGCGAGGGAGTGCGGGTCGCGGACTGCGGCGGCGGCGCGGGCGCAGCGCGTATATACGCGCGGCCCCTCTCCCGCGCACCAGCTTTTGTTACCCATTTTAATAATAAATTATGGTCTAATTGGGACCATAAAAGCTCCATTCACATATTAAATGATAGACCTATATTACTTACAATCAATATTAGCTGAAAATTTTAATTTTAATAATTGTTTTGAAAGTGATGATTGGTTTGTGACATTCTAAAAATCATCCAATTACGTAATTTCAGTTAAGATTTTCTCATGACCTTGGACAGGGACTGGTCTGTGTATATTCCCAGGAAAAGCAGTGTTAAATTGCTATAATACATGAATTTGATAATTCGTTTTAATTAGGTACTAGAGGTGAATTGTAGATAACTTGTCAATTAAAAATTTCTCATTGTTTTTAATTAAAGTTATTTTCATAGATCTGAACTAACTTTCTAAGTTTTAAGGATCATCATAGTAACCGTTAATTAGTTTAACTACTGAGCGAAGTTAGAGGATAGTGTTTTTAGTTTTATTGCTTTAACATTTCTTAGAGCTCCTAACAAGGTAAGAATCATGGTCAAAAAATAAATTGTTCAAGATGGTAGAAAATTATATTTCTAACACCAGGAACGGCAAAAGGTAAAGGGCAGCTATTGTCTGATAGCAACTTATGGGTTGTTAATGTTACCTACTGAAAAACCTGTATCTGAAATCTGATTATCAAACTATCACATCTTACATAAAATAAAATCATTAAAAAATATCCTGTGGGAAATGAAGTCATCACCTTTCGCTTGCGGGCGACAACTCTAACCACTGAGCTACAATATCATGTTTAAGTTCTGTTTAAGTGAACTTTATGAACTACCAATATCTAACGTGCTCATCTTATTTTACTAATTACAACTGTCTTCTATTTATTGTGTCTGCAGATATCGCTTTCTGTGATAAGACCTGAATTGTGTCGTTGCGACTTTACAGTGTATCTCGTGATCGTCGGTGTGTTCTGGTGCAATCAAGATTATTATCTATTTATTGAACAATGAGGTCAATTATTAAAGCCAGCATGTTTACCGCATACAAATCAAAAATCATCTCTATACCTACCTACACTTCACTACGCCTTGTGTGGATTTTTCATTTGAGATACGAGTAGTGAGAGCAGATTTTCAGTACGAGTCATTAACTAACTGGTTTAAGATCCAAATCCAATAAAAAGTATCGCGAATGGTAAACATTTTCCATTCGTTATTATGGGTGAAGGACGCTTCTAATTTGGACCCTCTTCTATATGGATGTCAGTGAGAGATGGAAGTTGGGCCCCGTCAGCGTGACAAAGGCCTCACCTTTGTACCTCCGAAGGGCACTCGAAGGGTCTGAAGCTGTGAAGAGACGCATAATCAATAGTGCCCGCGTTTTTCTTCAAGCTTCGTGGATTTCGGAGCGATAAAATATTAAGTATATCTATTTTTTATTGGGGACTCGGTTTGCGGTTACTTCAATCTCTTATAATGATAATAATGTGAATATGATGATGATCAGGTTCATCTCAAGATATAACACATCTAATACTTTAAGAAAACGCTTCAAGTAGGTACCTAACCTACATTAGTTAAGAATAATGCATTACGATGATTAAACTCCTAACCAATAGTATTATACCTACTAATATTTTCCCAATTTAAAATTAGTTAAATATTGAAATGAAATACTAGATACTATCAAAAGAATCGAGTGCCTCTGGATTTTAGGGTTGGTTAAGTACGAGTATATTTAGTTTTTAACATATTATGCAAATATCTAAAACAGCTTACAGTCTCTTATCTAGACAGAAAGGTGCTTTGAAAGCTTTGTTTCCATTAGGAAAGAAACTTTGTATCTTCGGCTGGCGTAGGCCGAATGAAGCCTTTTTTCGATTGGGATAAGCTTTTGCGTCTATCTATTGAGTATCTAGCCATACGGGATGGTATTGGTTATGTGGGACTTGCTCAGCGGGTTTCTACAAGGTAAAAAGACAAAATATAATAATCTAAAAGGTAAAAAGTTAAGTGAGTTCGTAATAAATGTAATCTTTTATGTGCCATTCAAGTTTATAGTTGTTCGACACTGAACCGGCCCAACTATGACATTGTCAGGAGGGCACTAATATAAATAATGGGCTTTAGTTCTGATTTATTCCACTTTGAGAAACACTGAAATGTCATTTACAGGAGGACGTTACTATCAATTACAAAGATAAATAGTTCTGATTTTTGCTACTCGACATTTCAAAATCGTGCAACTATAAATAACGTTCCTACTGACTGTCATGTGATTCACATGATTTTAATAAAGCGCTCCGTGGACTATGGGACCAGGCGTCAACGGAGACAATAATATTATTCCCAGTTAGTATAATGGTTAATGCAGTTATTAAGATTAAATATAAACGTTAGTTAATTACTGCCGCGCAAAAAGCATTTTCACACAGCGCGGGCGCAGCGTGCGAACTGATAACCGCTGAAGCAAACTTCTTTATGTGAATTCGAACTAAGTTTTCACTTGCGAATAAAAAAACGATCGACTTCGTATTCATATTAATTAATTTAGATTGCTTATTGTTTTTGGTGGTGGACAAATAAATAGAGTCAAAATTGATCAGTCTGATAGTTGTAGCGCAGTAAGGAAATCAAATATCAAGTGGCTAATACAAGTGGCGGTGGGCGGGGCACATAGCTCATAGATACGATGGCCGTTGGGGTAGAAACATTCTCGAGTGGCGACCACGGGCGAAGACGTAGCGTGGGCAGGCCCCCGCTAGGTGGACCGACGATCTGGTGAAGGTCGCAGGAAGAGCCTGGATGCGGGCAACGCAGGATCGGTCGTTATGGAAATCCTTGGTCCTTTGTCCAGCAGTGGACGTCATTTGGCTGAAACGAACGAACGAACGAAGGAAATCAAAATAAAATTTTAAGCTGTTTAAGTAACTTACGCATATAATTTTATACAACAGAGTGGCTACTTTCAGTCGCGTTACACATTTAAATAAATGAAAGTTGAAAGTCCTAAGTCTATTGGAGAAGCCTCGTGCTTTGGTCATCATGCTCTTACTTCCTTCATGCGCCCTCGCTTTCAGTTTAGGCTGTAATCCTACCTTGACTGTAATAATCAACTTAGCACACTTGTTCATATCTTCATCATCATCAAATTATTTAGTCTATAGCAGAAGCAGGGTTATTTTAATTCATCAGAGGAGAAGATGGAGGTTCTCACGCCTGAAGAGTTGGGGAGGCCTGATATGCACATATTTCTTGTATTTTACTCAATGTTTAACTAAAATGTTGCCATTAACTACTTACAACTCAAATATTAAGCAATACGAGTACCAATAGCAATAATAATTTGTAAGATGAGCGCTTATATCTTTGATAAGCCCCACGCCGTCGTAAATTGCGGGCGCCTTTTAGGCGAATATTTAGACCAATTAAGAGAATCTAATTTACGTTATTAATTAGTTTCTGTGGACTAAGCCCTTGGTAAGTGTTTAGAACGGTTATAGGGGTGGCAAGCTTTACAGTAATTAAACTCTAATTAATTTTGAAGAACAATGTTTGAAATGAATTTACATGAATAGTTTCAGTAGAGCTTATTTTTTCCGAATCCTGAAAATACGCAGTCGCAAACTTGATTTACCCAACTTTATGCGTCGATATCTTTGATATTTATTTTGTTAGCTAATTTGGATGATTATTATGTCTGAAAGTTTTACAAAATTTTGAAAAGTGCCCTAAAATTAATCGCGTTATTTATATTGTTCGATGCGTGTTTGTCTCTGTGACGAGGGACATAAAGGATGGCACACTTATAGGTACTATCGGACGCCTGCCTATGAGAAACGCATTTCCCGACGACTTTTCTTAGTGCTCTCTTATCTAAAATAAAAAAATAACAGAATGTCAATTATTGCTCTAATAAACCTCTGTCGATCATATTTGGCAGCCCTCAGTCACGAGGTCCTGCGGAGTGAAGGCACAGTCGTAAGTAATGATTACTTTAGTGTTTCAGACCGCCTACATTCATTTTGATTGGATGAGCTCAGGGAATGGACGTATATTACCTTTACTGTCGATAGTGCTATTAGTTATTTAGGCTATAAAAATAGTCGAGGACGCGTTTGTAGTTTGAATTGGATTTATAATAATATTATAGGTACATATAATGATTTATGAAATATTCTAAACTCAAAGCTATTTTAATTTAATTGGGATAAGGTTTTTTTTTACCCACAACGAGGAAGCTCTTGACCTGTATCTCACCTGATCATAAGTGATGATCAGGCAGAAGGTGGAAGCGAGCTTCACCCGGAATCCTCAAACCACGGAGGAACTGGCTATCTTACCACTAACTGCCGGAACACAACAATGCTGTTAACATAGCTGTTATGGCGACAGACTTAGGTAAGATGGTGGTAGCTAGCCAGGAGGACTTAGTCTTAGAACAAGTCCCACCACCAACCAAACCGAACAAAAAAATCTGCCCCCACTGAGAATCGAACCCGGGACCTCTGCGTCTGAAGCAGGTGGTCTTGCCACTGGACCACAGAGGCGGTTAAATGTTTCTTTTTTTGTTCATTTTATACCATGTATTATCTATTGTGTGCCAAATAAACAATATTCTATTAATATTTGATTATTACCATGAATATTAATCTTCTACCGAATTATCCTTTTTAGGGCTTTTTTTATAAGTATTATGAAACCAGAGTGCGGCTTCGAGGAAAATAATATAGGTATCATAAAAACGGTACTACACGGTGGACACACTAATGGTGTGCGTCAAAAATATATGTAGATTTTAGTTCCTGAAAGTAATCGCTAGGGGCGCTGTACAATATGCTAGCGAGCATACCCAATGTAAACTCATGGTAAGCACACTGATAGTCGTATTGAACGCTTCATTGCCTCTTGCAAACAGGCATCCAGGCAGCCCATATTCCCAAAATCATGGCAATAGGGGAATTTTCTTCGCTCTATCGTCAATACCCAATAGGTTAGACAAATTCTCATAAAAAAAAA